TTTATGCTGTTATTATTTTATTTCCATGATTTTAAAAGTCTGCATAATAGGCCTTGGCCCTCATGGGCTGTTGCGCCACTGAGTTAAGTTATATAGTACTTAAAATATAATTAAGTATTTGTTATTAATAATTATTTTCATTAATTGATGTTAATTATTTATTCAATGATTTATTTTTTACTGGGTTTTTTTTCCCGACGATCGACAAAGTCAAAAGAATACGTTTGGGGTGTATTGGGGTATGACACGAAAATAATGGACTTTCAACCTTGACGCCCTTTTGAAAAAATTTCCCGTCTGGGGCCAATTTTTAAAAACAAAAGGCAAAATATTAATATGAGTCCAATATTTTGTGAACTGAAAACCTTCAAATAAGTAGCACTAAATAATTCAGCACCAAAAAAAAAAAAATTTTACCACATAATATTTTTGGGGGTTTCAAAGGTCACAGTTAGGGGAAATTTTGTTAGGGGAAAATTCAAAACAAAAGTTAAATCATCAAAACGTGACTTAATTCCAAAGATGCTTTCAGGATTCTTTTTTTTATTCTGTAAAATTCAAGCAATACCACATACCATAGCAGTTAATAAAACACTGATCACCCACTCTCATTCCATTAATATTGATTTTGTAATGATTCTTAATGAGATGTAAAATATTGCTGTTGGTTATGAATAAGTTATAAGTGAAAAATAATTACAGTTGTTAGAGATAGTTAGTGGTAGTTTTTTTTTCAGATTTTGGGTATTTTTCTGATACTACAAGACAGTAAACAACATACTTCATATTGACTTTAAAAAGGTTTTTGTGGTAAATTTTTGCTGCCTTTTATTTCCCTTTTAATATAAAAAACACGACTTCAACAATTAGAACAATTTTTTTAGTGTAGTAAAATAAATACCATCTATTATTATACAAGTTTTGATATGGGGAGAAGCAAATTTTTCTAATATAACTGTGGTCCTGGAAGGTAAGTTTATGATTAATATTAATAACAACAGTTTTTTGTAAGTTGTATTTGGAATTTCTGACAAAAACACAACCGCGCATTGTTAAACTTCTTGAGTATTCTAATTAGTAACCTTTTCAGTAATGTAAACACCATACGTCTAAAGAAAATCTAATATTGCATAAAGAAAACTTTAAAAAATCAGAAAATTATAAAGCTTTTCTGATAAAACCAGTTTTCATTGAACTTAAAAAATTCAATTTAAGCGAAAGTTTTTTAAATAGTAACACACGGGAAACATAAAAATGCTTTTCACATTTTAAGAGCCATGACTCTGCAATTGTACCTTAAAATGTTTACATAACAAACATTCTCTTTAAAATGGGAATGACAAAAATCCATTGAATTGCATTGTTAACATTCAAAATAAAAAAGCTGAGCTGTTTCTAGGTAGCATTAATATAATTATATATAATTCAGTGAATATTTATTCATTTTTAAGTAGTATATGGTGCTAAACCTCAAAGCTTTGTAATGATACTCATCGAAAAGATTCCTCTTTAAGCCAAATTATATTACTAAAAGAAAAAAAAGTATAGACCACGTATTTACATATAATTATTACGGAAAGTTTCTCTTTTGTGGTAAAAAAAAAAGCAATTATCAAATTAATATGTAATAAATTCAGAAAGCGTATTTTATTTGAATATTTCAGATAACTTTTCTTAAAATACTTTTAAGGTTGGGTACTTCAGAATTAATCGAAGACATTTTTAAAAAAATGTAGTTCAGCAGTTTAAATTAGCAATTTTAAGCATCATTTTTTAAATAAGAATTTCAAATTTACTATATTAATTATTGAAATATTTATCTTTATAAAATGTAAGTTGTTCCATACGTATTGAAATATAACTGTTAATTGCACTAATATTCCTAAGCTCCTTTGTAAATGCTTTATCATCATTATTTTGCAAATTGGCGAATACAATGTAATCATTTGGCCTTATATGCATTATAACCACACACACAATCCCTCTTAATTAAGGCCTTTGGTGGCATTGCCCAATCACTGGAAAGAGCAACAGAAAATTTTATTTTAATAATTTTCCCGGCTAATATCCCACGTTGGCATTTCCGGACGTTTGACTAACCTTATCATTGTAATTTTGCTAAAGAATTGATTTTAATTATGGAAAACTCTCTTAATTATTTTTGTATCTTAATTCTGACAAAAGGGTAAACTAGTTAAGTTTAATGGAAACCTAAAACTTTATCCATCACTTATAATTACAAGGAAATTTGTACGCTAATCTAATTCTTTTGCGTGTATATTTTCCTTCTTAAGTATTCCAACCACTTCAGCAATTACAGAGAATTAATTTTAAATTATGTTGATATTCCAGAAGTTCTTTTTTTTCTTCTTGCTATAGTTATATTTCGATTTATAGCATATTATGTTGAAGAATATTTTCGTCTTTCATGTATCTTTGTCAGCCCTTTGTAACATTCCGTATGGCACAAAGTGCCGAATTTTTAGAAATATTTCTCGTGAAATATTTGGTTTTGTTTAAATGACTTCACACACAACGAGAGCATCTTAAGCTTTTGTTCATCGTAAATCAGTGTTTCTAAATAAAACTGTGGGCGTGCTCCCCTGGGGGTACGATAACTCTACAAGGGGAGAAGGGGCAAGCATATTGAAAAGTTGAAAACAAAAGATTATTGAAAAAGGATTAATTTACTAAAAGTAAACAAACAAAAAATACATTTTGACATAATAAAAAATAAAGTACTCTCATTTGCACTGATGTAACACACTTATAAATGTATCAGTACTGCACAATGTATTTTACACAATGTTAAGTTAAAAACAAGTTTAATAATTACCGTGACCCCCATAACCTTGTCATATATAAAATTACATACAAAAAATAACACTTATTTCGATAATTTATACAGTTTATAATTAATCCCTTAACTTCCGATTAAAAGTTAAGCGATTCGCTTCCCAATGCCACGCTTTCCATGTAGGTATATGATGTATTGGGAAAGGGGGAGAAAAGAAACAATATAAGCAAATCCTCTGAAATACGTAAATCCTTCGTAAACAATACCAATGTCCTTTTATTGCGTTTCAAAGCCTTCGGAATAATTTTAAAGATAGCAGTGCACAGAAAGGATTGTACTTGCGGAAAGACGTATTGTAGCTTTAGCGTCAAAGAATAGTACTATTGAATTCACACACACGCAATACGTTGTTATTGTATGGGGAGGGCAATGAAAAGTATGATTGAATATTGGGTCGCAAATATTGAAAGCTTGAGAAGCACTGTCGTAAAGAGATAGGAGTTAGAAACTCATGATGGCTGGCAAAACTGCGGAGAGAATCTATTATTGTGCCATTTGGTATTTCTTTACATGAAGATTTGCTGAAAATAGTAGCAAGTCATATTCTAGTAAGGCGGCAAAGTGCATTCAACAATAATGTGACATAATAATAATCTACTACACAGAAATGTTATTCTATACTTACACAAAACACTACTAAAGTTGAAGCCATAATACGGATTCATTTATATTTTTAATGTAATTATTGATTTTATTTGAAAATTTCTTTCTGTTTGTGATATTGACCTTTCCCACTGGGAAATTTTGTAAAGCGTAATACTTTGTTTTTTTATCGCTGTGTTTCATTTTTAAATTAATTTTTTTAATTTTGAATTCATTTCTCATATTAACTTTTTAGCTCTTATTCGTAAGAAAAGTATGTTGAAAATTCTTATAATATTGCAGATATACAGCACTTAAATCTCTTGCGGATCACTCTTACGCATTCAACCGTTTACAAAACGTAAAACGTAGGTGTTCGATTTATTTCGCATCCCTTTCAACCCTTCAAGGATATATTTTCGTACCTCACAGTTTGCAATCTTAAAATAACACCCACGTAACTTATTTGCTCAACTGTAGAAATAAATAAGTAAATACACATTACTTATTTTTACAGCATAAAGTACTACTTTTCCAAGGGTTTTGAAATTAATTTTGTCAGAGAGGGAAGCGAGAACTTCTTCATTTTTTTCAACTCAATATTCTTTCGCACCCATAGAGATTATTGAAAACCGTATCGAAGACACAATATGGATTGTAATGTGACCCAGCCATTGTTACTCAAGATGGGAGAAACACCATATTTTTTTCTAAAACGTAATTGTTGCATAAAGGCCATCTTTCCCCCGTAAAATTTTTTTATATTCATTTTTTTTAGAAATGTGAAAAGGGGGTGTACAAAAGAAAATCTGTCTTCCTAGGATTTCGAAATTAACATATTTCGCTTGCATGTATCATTTTCCTGACCATCCGACTTTTTCTATATCTTAATTAATACGAAAAGAGGGATGAATTTATGAATATATTATCTATATTGTGAATGGTTTGAAAAGGGTATAATATTTTTATATATTCCTTTTGTGAAGGAAAGGGAGTTAAAAAATAAAGTATTATCTCTTTTCATTTTATGCAAATGCTGAGCTACTTTCGATTATTAATGAATATAATTTAAATGAGAAACGCGGCAGGTGGTAGAAGAATGGTATAATAGTTACATTATCTACATAATGCAAACTTTTTTACCAATTTGGAGATGTTATGTAATTTACTTTAAATGTTAAATGATACACCGGTTGCTATCCATTTTGACAGATTCTGTAATATGTAGGTAAAATTTATAAGTTGGTGTAGCTTAAAAAATTTAAATTTTGTCTTCCCCTTTTTCTCAAAATATCAAATGGTGTATATTAAACGGCATGAAAGATCTGAATTTACTTTTAGCACTTTTACCCATATATAATATATATACTTATTCAAATTTTCAATAGTTACTTTCTATCCATTCAAGTTCAAATACATTTTTAAACTTGTAGTGGATGACACTTGATGTTAATACAATTTTTTAAAGTATAAAATTCATTAATTAAATCAAAAAATGAATAAATAGTAACAAACAAAAATATAAGTCCAACAGCATATATAGAAAGGAAAATCGTTCGTTGCCTCCCTTTAGCGCAATAGATAGCGCTTTGGACTTCTAATCCAAAGGTCGTGGGTTCGAATCCCACCTGAGATAGCCTGATTTCTGAGAATGTGATTCCTTTTTTACTATACTATTTTATTTGAATAATTAAATTTAATGAATGAATAAATAGTAACAAACAAACAAATACAAAAATAACCCAACACCCTATATAGAAAGGAAAATGGAAAATTGCAAGGAAAATCGCTTTCAATTTTGTCACTTAATATTGTTATTCTGTCATAGGTATACACCTATTTATATTAATATTTCCATTTAATAAAAAATAACAGAATAACCAAATTTGCTTTGTCGCTTAGTAGGATTTTCCTTTTTATATATATTACTTGTTAGATTCTGCGTTAAAAAGGAGTTTCGAGTGAGTGAGTGTTTTTTTTATTGTTCCCCGTAAACAACGTTTTTGGATACGGCAAAGGGCCTCAAAATTTAACCATGGTCAAGGACGGGATGTCACCGAACTGAACCCCCAAATTCCTCCCCCTACGAGGGGGCCACAACATTTTTGAACCCACCTCTGTACTAGGCAGGTCTTCTTCAATGATACTGGGGCTCGAGTCCGCAACGACCACAAAACGGGCTATACCGCACCCGAAAACAGGGAAATGCCGAAAGCTTTTTTTTTAAAAATTTCTCCCTTTGTTTGAAAAATGGAAAAAACCCTTCTGCATAATTTCAAAAAATTTAGTTGACCTCTGTCAGTCGAGCTATATATACCGGCAAAAAAAAATTTTTATTTTATGAAACAATTTTTCTAAAAGAGAATATTTTAAAAATTTGGTCATTTATTTTCATTTTTATCAAAATATTGTACTTAAATAATTTATTTTGTATAATATTCTTAAAAAAAATACTTTTTCTAATCAAAGTAACACTAAATATCATAAAATTATCCATTTATCCCTTTTTTCAAATCAGGGTTTCCCGAACGTAGTTGGATACCTTAAATAAATCCATTGAAAAATAATAAATATCGTGGTGAATAAAATAAGGAATAATATAAACATTATTTAAAATGATTAAAAAAAGATCGACATTTTAGTATTAAAGGAAAAATATTTTAATATATAATACAGTAGAGCGTCGTTTTTCCGAATCAATTGGGCCCGGACCTGTTCGGATATGGATTTTCGAAGGCCCTGATATAGGGGAAAATATTGAAAATCATAAATGGGAAAACGTAGTAAAGAAAAGAAAAATAGGTGAAAAGTCCAATTTTCCTTTTATTGGGAAAATAATCACTTATTTTTCCTTCCCTTTTACACCTTCTTTTTTTCGCTGAAGGTCTCTGATTCTCTTGACGCGTTTAATAGGAAGCACTCTGATTTTGTTCTACTTTTCCCCATGTTCTCTAACGCGAAAAGCGTCAGCTTTTGATGGACCTTCTACTTTCTTTTTGTTGTTGTTGTCCTTATCTTTATCCGTTTTGGACAGGGTCATTTTCACAAATACAACCCCAAATCATTTGGGTTTGAAATCCAACTTCTGCATCGCGTCCATCACATCTTCTTCATCGTATTCGAAACCCTGGGTCGTTGGACAAATTGGGTTCTCCCCCCTGTGGTTTTATTGAAGTCTTTTCGCCTTTAAATCTTTCAAAAAAAGTATTCTATACAGTACATGTAGTTGACAAAAATGGGTGGATTTTGACCTCGGATTAAAGGAAAAAAGACGTTCTCTGTACATAAAAAAAAAATACATTTTACAAAAATGACAAAAATTTGAATGGTCATCAAAGCTGTTTGAAAACATTTAAAGATTAGTTAATTATTTTTTCTAATAATGAGGGCTTGAAGATTTTTCCATAACTGTCAACAAATCAAATGGGAAGTTTATATATGTGTTTGTCGTTAAAAATTTATGTTCTTATCATAATAAAATAACTTTCATGTCTTTGGAATTTTCTATTTTTTACATTCTTATTTTATTTCTTAAAACTTTATTTCTAATTTTAAATATTTTTTTAAACTAAAAATGAAAAAAACCAAAAAAAAAATGGCTTTTAAACCCTTTTAAAAAACTTAAGAATAAAAGCTTCTTGTACGTAATTTGTTATGACTGTGGGAAAGCCCAAAATAACATTTAGCTCATTGCATGATACAACCGTATCCCAAACAAGCGACCCTTTTAAAAAAGTTTATTATGTGAAACCTTTAAATTTTTTGAAGCTCTCTTTTTCCTGATGGTTCTTTTACATGAATTGAAAATAAAGCGTTGGAAAAACTTTAAAAATATAAAAACCCCCCAAAATTGTCAAAAAAAGTACGCTGATAAAGTAGTCTAACAAATTTCAGACTAAAAGTTACCGAACAATAGCTGGTTTTTTTAATAGATTTAAAAAACGGGAAAAAATAAAAAAAATAATCTCAAAGCTTGGGGACCAGCTGATTTTTGGAAGCATTGTAACACACAATCTTTTAAAATAGAATATGCATTTTTTTATTCCGTAGAGGGGTTCTAATTCAGCCTTGCATGCTTGCTAATAAATTATTCAGTGTTCCTTGTAAACTTCACAATATAGATTTGCCTTTTTTTTTGGGGGGGTTACTTCATTTAGAATTGTTTTATTATTTTCCATATAATTTGCTTCTTATAACTATACCCCGTTTATTTTCCGAAAATACTTACACAAATACGATAAGAATTGAAGTGAATTACAACTGATAGTTTAATATATAACGTTATTCCCAGGTGCAGTAGACTAGATAGTTTAAGAGGAATTTTACCTTGTAACGGGTCTATTGGTGAACCTTCCATTAATCCTCTTGGATAAAATTGTTTTTAACTGCAAGTTCTGTTGAAAAATTCTCCTAGAAGAAGAAAACGGGATTTTTTTAAATGAGTTGTTCTATTTGAGCGTTGGCATTTGGGTACACGATATTAGTCGATGGATGGTCGGTAGTTGATAATTGGAGATTAAAAGTGATTAAACTGTGGACTTGATAAACGACCGGAGATCGTATATTTGAAGCAAGATAATTACGGAGAATTGATGCATAGGAGTCCAGAGTGCTCCAAGAGTAAGTTAAATAAACATTAATTATATGTTAGTAGCCTTAAGCCGTGCGTTGCTCTTCTAATTATTTGCTAATTATTTTCTAGTTATTTTCTTAGGTTGTTTTGATTAAATAAAGGGATAGATAAAATTGCGTTTAAAACTTGCTATGACTCATCTTTGCGTGCAAACCCCCAAACACCAACAACCTCTAGAAGGTTGTTGCAACCTTGTACAGGAAATATTATTGCAGTTCATCTTACCGCAAACGAAGATGCTGCGTTACCTAATCTAGAAATTATATGTTTCGCATCAATTTAATTTAGTCATAACTTGCCTTATTTCTCACTTCTGTAGAAAATTATTTTCTGTTGCCTCATATTGAGACTAATTTTAGTTGCATCTCTTAATCTATAGAGTTTTTCTAATTAATCAGGTTACTAAAAAATTTCTATGTCATTCTTAATATGCTATGTGAGTATGTAAGTTTCCCAATCGTAAAACTACTTTAATTAGTAAATCAAAGAAACAAATCACAGACCTGATATGTAAACTTCTTGTGTTGATTTTGTTTAATATTTGATTCGATATTCGTCAGGGAGAATCAAAATCTATGGGTTGCTAACAATTTTCTGAATTCCATTCTAAAAACTCAAGAACAATTTACAGATGAAAATGCTTTGCTGGGATACTATTTGAAACATTTCACTGAAGAAAACAAAACAAAAAAAAATTTGTGACGGGGCTTTATCGGTATTTCCACTAATTGTCCTCTTGGGATTTCTTTGGGGCCTGAATGGCAATTCTTTCCAACTAACCCAAGAAGAGAGCGTGTTTATGCAAATTAGGAATCATATATATTGGAAGGTTAGCATTCGCGAGGATCGCTAAGTGAAGCTCTGCACGCTAAGTAAGCTAAGTGAAGTGAGATAAAGTCTAAAAGAGAAGTCTTCATTCTGGGAGTTGGCCTAACAGTGCCGGTGTAGATAAGCCAAAAGTGGGTCCGAGACCAGCGGAGCATTGCCTAAGCCAGAGCCACCCAGATTAAAGGTTGAATTGACGTTTTACGGACCGTAGATGTTTACCCAGGAAATAGCGGTAAGCTAGTTCATCTAAACTATAAGGATAGTACGGATACCACATTGAGTTAGGAATTAATACATAAATATAGATTCAGTTGTTAAGTGCGCTAATTATCAGTAATACGTTTAGCGTTTACTCACTCTTGATCAATATCCTCCTAGACTAGTATTGTCGTTGTATTATATATAAATTAAGATCAGAATAAACTGATTTTATTCTGACTGAGTTTAGTGGTGCATCCTTCATTCCCTTAGGGTAGGTCGCGTGGATAATGGAGAGAGGGTATACGCAACGGAGGGGATACCACAAATTGAATTCAAACTTTTGCACAAGTTTTAAGTACGAGCTTCGCTCACAGTTACAGGACTTTAAAGTGCTCGCCCCCGAAGGGACTATACCAAATCTGGACCAACTCGATATTCTCTGTCAAAATTGGGGTAGAACGGAAGGAAATCGTGTTGTCACCGGGAAGGTGCTCAAAGCTGCAGCAAAAAGGACAAACGTATTACTATAACCCCCACGGCAGGATGAATTTCGTGGGCCTCGGTTTGAAGTTAATTACGATCAGGTGGAATAAGTATATACACTAACATAAAGCTTTATTGTTTGCTTATGACTATACCTTAAAAGCTTCAGAGTTTTAAATTAATGGAAATGACCGCAATCTCTGTCAGAGTGTAAATTCATTGTAGTAATGTAAATCCATTTTTTAAACTACTTTGTTGTTAGTATGTATTTTATGACTAAAAGTACGTTTAAATGGATTCATTAATAAATAGTTATGTTACTCCATATTCAGGATTGTTTTCGTAATTCTCTTGTTGAGACCAACTGTATCCTGATTCCATGAAAACAACTATTTCATTTCCTTACTTTATATTAGAAGTTGTAACTAAGTAACTAAAACAATCACCTTCCTTTAATTCGATTTAACGTAGTTCCAGAAGCATAAAATAAG